GTAATTTTTATTTATTATAATGAAACTGACAAAGTTTTTTATATATAGTTTGTAGCACAATGTTTTCAAATATACATTTCTAATGGCTAAACTGAGCTAATTAACAGAGTCATCATTCATATATTTACCATTTTTTAGGAAGAATACTTAAAATTTAACTACATTCTCTGTGATTTTCAAATATATTTTATTATTAACTATTTTATACAATAGAGTTCTTCAATTTATTCCTTAACTAAAACAATGTCTCCTTTGATCAACACCCCCACCAACACCCTGCCCCGACCCAGCCACTAGTACCCATCCTTCTACCCACTCTGACTAAAGAAGGGGCGGTGAGACAGCCCTATTTTTTTTCTTTCATTCTCCGCACTACCTCCCCCCACCCCCGCCACACACACACACACACACACCCATGTTTCACGCTTTCTGCACTTTGAGGTCTCTCAGGGTTCTGAAAGCAGATTTGGAAACATGTTGAATAGGTCCCCTCCAGTTAGAGATGACAATATCAACCTGGAAGTGTCTTTGGAGACTGATGAGTGTGCTTTAGGAAATGAATGATTTTTATTTGAAAAAAATCACTCAGCAGCAAGTGATGGGGCCCCTTTGTCTGTGGCGCTTGGAGCAGTCACATATTGTAGGGACACCAAAGACAAATAGACACTGGAAAAAAAGAAAATGTAGATAGTTTAGAGACTTCATTAGTCTGTTAGAAACAGGTTGACTAGGAAAATATGTATTCTAATGTATAAGAACTTTTTGAAAATATAACCAGTACTTTCTGCTTAGAAAACTCATTCTAAGTTGTTTGAAGAAAATAAATAGGAATTCTAGAATTAATAAAGGGAATTTTGATGTATTTACTCATTAGCAAATTAATAAGAGCAGTTATCGTTTGGAAGCCGACCAAGGAGACCTGGATGCACCTGGGTGGGGGATTTCTCTGGGAGTTAGATGAGATCAGAAGGGGTTAGCCTGCAGGATATGGGGTTGGAAGAACTTAAAATTATGGCCCTGGTTAACTACTTTTATTTCTCCATTTTCCTCTGCCTTCTTCAATTCACCCTTTTCTGAAAGAATCATGAGCTCTTGTTCAAGGTCAAGCTTTTTACTTCCTTTTCCATGTTGATAACATCAAGTAAGAAGTCTTATTGTTGTTTCTCTTGCTTCTCAATTCCTACTTTCTTTTCAGAATTTTTGGGTTGATTATTTTAATTATGATGATCCAATAAATACTATGCCACCCCCTTTCCACACATGCACGCTCACACACATGCACGCACACACACACACACTCACACACACCAGGGCTAGTAGAGTATTTAACTGATGGTATGCAAGATTATCTGTAATTTGTTAATATAATAAGTAGAAGAAACTATTAGGTTGAAAGCTAACTTAAAGAATTATTTATACACCAAACTTTAAATGTGATCTAATTACATAGCAATTTATGAAATATAGTCTTTGATATGTGTAGGTAATTTTTTAACTTTCTAATTTAATTTTTAATCAAGCAACTAATACATTCACAACTTTTAACAATTAAATGATTTTTAAAAGTTATAATTGAAAGTCTCATTCCCACTCCTCCTCCAGACTTCACCCCTGCCCCTTCATGTTTTGTAAAACGACCCTGGGTGTCTTTATGCTAAAGTAAACAAATGAGGATATATAATTTTTATATAGAGGTTATTATAGTAAACATTCCCAAATAGCTATTGATCTCCACTTACTTTTCCCCCCCCCCCACTTAACAATATATCCTGGAGATCTTTTCACATGGTTCATCAAAAGCTTTTGTATTCCACTATGTAGTACACCATAGTTTCATTTTCCCCTAATTGATGGACTTTGGGGATGTTTCTAGTCTTTTGCCATAAAAACAATGTTAAATGTTGAGTGTCCTTATTCAGATATAGCTGTCCGAAGAATTTCCCAGAAGTGGTATTTCTGGGTCAAAAGGAAATGTATTTGTAATTTTGAAAGATGGTAGTATCAACTGCCCTGTATTAGTGCTATGCCATGTTTCCCTCCCATCAATGTTACATAAGCATACCTTTTCCTCTGCATTTGCACCAATAAAGGATATTTTGAAATTTTTGGAATTTGGACAATTGCATGGGTGTAAAAATTGGTATCTCAGTGTGGCTTACTTTGCATTTTTCTTGTTATGAATGAGGCTAAGCATCTTTTTATGTTTACTGGCCACTGTATTTCTTTTATTATTAATGGTATTTTCATGTCCTTTCTTCAGTTTTCTACTAAGTTGTGTAGGGTTTTCATTTTGATTTCTAGCCACCATCTATAATATGAGTTGGACATGCATCTTCCCAGTTGGTTACTCATCTTGTCCTTTTTTTTCAATATGAGGGATGGAACCCAAAGAGTGCTGTACTATACTGAGCTGCACTCCCAGCCCTGTTTATTTTTCATTTTGAGGCAGGGTCTCCCTAAGTTTCTGAGAAGGGCCTTGAATTTGCAATTCTCCTGCCTCAGCCTCCTGAGTCACTGGGATTACAGGTGTGTGCTGCCACACCTGTCTCTATTTCATTTCATTTTCCTCCTTCTCCTTTGTAAGGAAAGTTTAAAGGCAGCCCTTGCTTTACACAGCATTGTAGAATGCTAAAAATGACCAAGCCAGTGAAAACCATGTGAAGCAATGAGAAAAATCACAGTAGTTTAAAAAATTTGGTCAAAACACTAAGGACTCGTAAACTGATATTTATAAGTGAATAGAGGAATGAAAAATAAGAAAACTAAGATATATTTAGTATACTATAACATTAGAAACATTGAGAATTATGTTAGACAGCTTCTTATCACTGTAACAAATACTTGAGAAAATCTACCTTTATTCATTTATTTATTTCTTTAATATTTATTTATTTAGAGTTTTAGGTTGACACAATATCTTTATTTTTTTGTGGTGCTGAGAATCAAACCTAGTGCCTCATGCATGCTAGGCGAGCAGGCTACCACTTGAGCCACATCCTCATCCCTGAAAATCTACTTTTAGAGTAGGAAAGATTTGTTTTGGCTCATGGTTTCAGAGGCTTCCATCCATGATTTTTTTGTCTCCATTGTATTAACATGGTGGAGCAGACTGATTACCTCATGGACATCGCAAAGTACAAAAAGAGAAGAGTTGGGACTAGAGAGAAATAAACCCTTCCAGTGCACACCCCTAGTCACCCACTTCTTCCCACTAGGCCGTACCTCCTAGAGTTTCATTTATGTCTCAATAAAGCCATCAAATTGTGAATTCCTCAAGGATTAATTCATTGATGAAGTCAGAGCCCTCGTATGCAATCACTTCCCCAGATCCCCACCTCTGAAGCTTGAGGACCAAGCCTTTGCCACCTGAGCTTTTGGGGGCATTCCAGATCTAAACCAAAACGAGAATTAAAGTGTTTCATTTCTTCTTGACAACCTTAGCGAGAGTAGTTTGAACAGGGTTTCCACCTTCATCTCATTACTTAGTGAGACAGGGTGAGAGTCTTTTCCATGTCTTGGAAAACTGTCATATCCGTCTACATTTGGATCAGCTGCCAGCATTTGATCCTTTTTTGTTGTTGTGAAATATCCACACGAATTCTAATATGAAGCTTTTTGCCAGCGTCCCTTCCTCTGGCATCCCATCCTTCTTCATCCTCTTCCGTCCTTTCATCACAAGCACTTTCCTCACTGATGTTGAGAAACTCCCCTTTGTTCTGGCAACATGTGTCCCTCCAATGGCAGCAGTGTCAACATCCCCTCAATCATCTGTGTCTTCTATAGCTCTATTTACATTCAGTTCAGATTTCACTTCAAATGCCATCACTTTTAGTTTTGTTGCTGTGCTTTTATCTTTGTTCTCCAATTCCCTCTTTCAATTATCCATTTTTATAAAATGTCACATGGGCTTATCACTGGGAGACAAAGAGACAACTACACACTTGGCTGCCTGCACATGAACAGAATAGCCAATGCATTTTCCATGCTCAAGTGGAGCCCTATGCACTGTGTCATGAGGCTGTCTTGCCATGACCAGTTACCAGTAGACTTGGAAAAAGTCATGTGATTGTTCACCGATCATGATGCAAGGCTATTACTTAGAGAATTCAGAAGAGCTGGCAACATAGTTTTGACTTTATGCAATTACTCAGACTTAATATACTGTGGTAACTATACTGTGATACTATGGAATTTAAATCATGTCAGGGCAATGATACTATCTAAGGAAACCATAGTAAGTTAAATTTGTGCATATCAAACCACACAATGCAAGGGCTGCCTCTATTTAAAAAAGTATAAGAATAATGTAAAAAAACTCCGCATACTCATCTCTGAGACTTGACCATTATTAACATTTTGTTGTGTATGCATCGAGTGTTTTTAATAAAGGAAATAAAACATTAAAAATAAATTTTATATTCTTTGCCCTGCAATTCCCATCGTATTCCCCTCCTCAACCTCCAAACTGATTTATCATCATGAATTTAAAGAGTATCTTTTGAGCTGAGGACATAGTCAGTTAGTAGAGTGCTTGCCTTGTATGCACAAGACCCTGGGTTCAATCTCCAGCAATGGGCACGGGCGCGGCGCGCGCACACACACACACACACACACACACACACAAGAGTATCCTTTATCCTCTCCCCTAACCCTGCCTGCTCTCTCTCTTAATGTTTATAGGTGTTCCTGTGATGGCTTCAGTGAGCAATATATACTATTTGTAGGTGTGCTCTTTGATTTGTGTCATCAGTTTGATTTCTGTTTATCATGCTCTTCCTTTGCCACATGTGGCCTTAGTTCTCTCCTCTTTCTACTCTAGTTTAGAAGTCATGTTTTTCTATCTCATCCTATTTCTATTTAATAAGTGAAATATTTTTTAAGGAAAATCATGCCTAGATGAATGCTAGAGTGCTGACCTCTCTCCATGGACATGTGTTGTGGTGTCATGTTTATATAAATATTTTTCTGATATATTTAACAACCTTTTTACTCTGTCTTCCAGATTTATTCAGGAGATTGAGCATGCCCTGGGGCTTGGCCCAGCCAAACAGTGCCCTCTTCGAGAGTTTCTCACCATGTACATCAAAAACATCTTCCTCAGTCAGGTCTTGGCTGAGATCAACAAGGAGATTGAAGGAGTCACTAAAACATCTGACCCCTTGAAGATCCTCGCTAATGCAGACACCATGAAGGTGTTGGGGGTGCAGCGGCCTCTCCTACAGGTAATAATCTTCCAGAATTTACTGCTTTTATCAGCAATTTTTATTGGCTTGGCAAGAGTTGTGAATTAAAGAAGAAGGATTACCATCTGTTTCCATATTCAGCAGGGACAAAACAAGAGGAAATAAATTAAACAGGCACTAGGGAAATTTAGGTCTAACATAGTTGGAATTTCCTTAAGATCTTTAAGAAAAAAACTGGTTAACTTTGTGGGAAATATTGAGTCTCATTCACACAAAGTCAGCCCTTCATTATCTGCTGGAATTTGTCCTTGAAAGGCCTTCTCTTTCTATTTGTAAATGCATCCCAGAGTATGAAGGATTAACAGGAAGGAATTCAGTCACCCTACCTAACCTCAATTACCAGCCGGAAACCCTCTGCACCATTTGACAGCAGACTTGCTGTAAATAACTTGACTAGTTCATGGTGAATTTGAACCAGTAAACTGACTTTTACAAGTGAGACCATTTAATTCAAGTAATGATCTCATTAACTTTGAAAGTTCTACTTTGACTTCATAAAAAAATGGTGTGGGAGCAGTAGGAATTAAACAATCTGTAAATAGATACTTTTGATTAATAAATTTGAAATATATATATATTATACACATTTTGGCTGGTGACTTGGAGATGAATATAAAACTAATAGAAGATTAGAACAATTTTAAAATATGGGTGAAGTTTGACTTTTATTACCTTGTAACTTTATAAAGGGTTTCTTCATTTAAAGGAACAATGGGCATAAAGCCCATGTTTACAGAAATTACACAATGTGGTGATATTCAAGGTACAGAAGACTCAAGTTCTTCAGGAGAAGCTGGAGGGGAGTTTTACTTGCTTCAATTACCTGTGGGATCTTAGGGAATTATCCTAGTTATGAGCATTTTTTATATGCAAACTTTTCTATGATACAAAGAATTTTGAACAGAGGCCTCACACTTAGGAAGATGCTCATTTGGATTATCTGGGCCTGTGTTCGATATGCTCCTGATGAAGGACCTAGACTGTGTCTTGGGTGTGGAGAAGGGGAAATGGCAAAGGAGTGTGTTCACTGCTCCATCTGTGGATTACTCTATAATGGTTCTTTGCATAGTGGGGAACTTCTGCATCTTATTTGACATGCCACCTCCACTGAGAGGTCTTTCTTAACTGCTCCACCTAAGTAGCTCCCCTTTCCTGATTTTCATCCATTCTTCACCTCCCGTGTGTTTTCAATACTACAGCTAAACCCTATGGTCTGTGTCACTTGCCACATGGCTGTGATCAGGTTCTTTCAATAAGAAACCCCAGCTGAGGTGGAGGATGAGGAGAACAAGGTTGAGTCTGTTCTTCTCCCTTTCCTCCCCACTTTGGATCATGGTCCTGGATGTGGGTGCATCCCTCCATAACCCGAGGTCCCACCAGGTGACATTTCCTTCATAGCTTGGCTTTCACTGGTCTCTTGACACCATTTCTTCCTTGTCCCTTGATTGCAGCTTTCTGCTGTTACTGGTCTCCGAATGCCTCACTGTCCCTTGATGCTTTGTTCCACCCTGCCCATGCCTCTGTGAGTTCTCTCTTCATTAATCTCTCTTCATTTGAATCATCTGAATCAAATACTCTTTGTGTCAGAACCCCAAAGGAGTCTCCTCGATCACTGTTTTAACACTTTGGGTTTTTTATTGTATTTGGTTATTTATTTATTTATTTGTTTGTTTGTTTGTTTGTTTATTTATTTATTTATGCATGCAGTGCTGGGGATTGAACTCAAGGCCCTGCACACCCTAGGCTAGGTATCTACCACTGATCTACATCCCCAACCCCAACATAGGTTGTTTTTGTTTTTGTCCTCAACATTTATAATGACTGTATTTATTAATTTTGCTAACTTGTTTAATTTCTGGGTTTTTCCCCCACTAAAAGGTAAGCTGCAAAAGCATAATAGAGTATCAGACAGCAGGAAAATGCTCAATAAATAATTTCTTGAATGCATTCATGCATGCATGGGTAGATGGATGGACACAATAAGTAAGTTTTGAGAGTCATAAATACCTGCAGAGTCAGAATGGGAAAATGAGAGATAATGGCAAAAACATGTTTACTGTCCTGCTTTGTCTGGCCATGTTAGTCTCCTTCATGAGAAACCCATTCGTTAGTTATTTCCCTGAAGTGTTGTGCTATATGCCACATAGAGCAACTTGAACATGCTTCGTGTACTGAGATTGAGAGGGGAAAAAGGCAAAAGGCACTACCAGGGGATCTGTGAACTAGAGATTCTGGTTTATTAAACATGATTGTTTTCAGCTTGAATAGCAAGGACACATTAAAACTTATCACTAGCTGACTGCAATCTGGGCTGTGTCAGGCCATGTGCTGCCATCTGAGTGTCATCTCTGGGCAGTGCACTGATGTGCCTGTCAGATCACTCCCAACCTCGTCACCAGCCATTTTGTATGTGTAACTGCGCCTCTTGTCCTTTAAATCAATTACTCTGTTCAGAGACTCGGGAAAAACTCCATTTCACCTGTTCTGTCTTTGACCTTGTCAGGATATAATTATATGTAAGTAAGTAAATCTTGAGACTAAGGCCATTCAAGCTATTAGCCTCTAAATTTGTTTTTGGAGATAAAAACACCTGCTTTGTTATTGAGTTATTTTGTTGCCCTCTCTCTTTTTTCAATCCAAATTTTATTTTATGAAAATGCAAGGTGCTGGAGGTGCAGATAATACATTTGTTTAATATTCTCAGAGTTACAAGATTTAAAAAGCAAATGAGGAGATGCTTATTTTTCCTTTCCCATGCTGAGAACTTCTCTTGCCTTATAAATTGTCTTCTATCATGATTTCCCATGCTCATGTTTCACTGTTTCTGTGTCTCTTTATGTTTTTATTCTCAAATAATCATAGGTAACTAGTCTGGGAGAAAAAGTAAGAAATAATTCTCAGAAATGTGAACTGAGAATCCAAAACAAAAGTTAAGAAGGGAATTGGGAAAATATATGCTTATGTGAAAGATGCAGGTGGGTTAAGAATTCAATTACATGAAGCATAAAAATGTCCTTTACAGTTATGCCCTCTACTAGACGGATGTTTGGTCAAAGAATAGAAGGGAGGACATGCCTTTTCCTTGAGGCAAGCACCCAGTGTCATCTGTCGTCAGCCCAGCCCGATTCCTCAGGGAAGAGGAAGGACAGATGTCTTAATGCTGTTTTATCTGTTTAATGATAGGCAGATGCAGTGCATGGGTGCCCTGTGAAGAGAGCACCACTGTTCCTATGCCTCTGAGATGGCTTCTGGGCATTACAGAACTCATATTATGGGCGGGCATCTCCATGGGTGCTAGCATGCTTTCCCACCAATGATTTCACCTGCCATCGCAGATCCCACAGAAGGGAAGGAAGGAAGTCAAGAGGAAGGAAGAGAATACAAATATAATTTTATAACTGAAACAGCTATGCAAGTATTGGCCCAAAATGATACAGCAAAGTAGTACTGGTAGAAATAATAGAAGTAATACTAGTAATGGCAGCAATCTTAATAGTAGGTAATTGGTAATGTTAGCAGATATCACTTCAGTAGCATTTTCCATGAGCTGGAACTATGCTGAGTGCTTTATGTCTGTTAACTTATAAGTGCTTTGATTGTATGGCAGGAACTTCTGTGAGGATCTTATTATAGTTAGAAAAGTGAGAAACTAAGAAATTAAATAATTAGTCCATCATCATATAGCTAGCAAAAGTGAAATTATAATTCACACCCAGGCAATATAACCCTGGAATCTATGCTATAAGCCTGTTCTACTCAAATTGTAGTAAGGATCATGTTTATCTGCAAGTTATATGTTACAGGTATCTCAGACACAGAGAATTTGAAGGTAAGTGTGTGTGTGTGTGTGTGTGTGTACGCAATTTGACATTGTCAAGACAAAAACAGAGGGACTTAATGTTTTGTACATTTTTGTGAGTTTTAAATTTTTCTTTTCTAGTAATTTATTTTTATTGCATTTCACAAAGGTGCCTATCTGAAATATATTGAGGGAACAAACTAGACTTTCACCATGTTGAAAAGCACAGCTCTAAATCATTTACTCTTTTTGTACTGACTCACAAAGAAGTAAAGCACCAAACCATCTCTTTCCCCAGCATCTGAAGCACTTTATAACACACAGAAGAGCTTGGATATTTGCCATAGTTGGTTCTCTCCAGTTCCTTGAAGACTCTTAAAATAACTTGAATATTGAGGAAGCACTCAATAGTTAATGAATGAGTGATGGATGAATGAATGATTGCTTCCTTAGTACAAGGATGTGTGTGTCTATTTTCCTCCATGATATGAAGTTTATGATACTGAATTTAAGATTCTAAATACTGCTTAAGTTAAAATGGCACAGTTCTTAAGCTTCTCATGCTGATAGCATGAAGTCAGGACTAGTTCTGGCCATGGGCTGACCATCTGAGAGCCCTGTATACCCATCCCTTTTTCTGGAAAATGGTTTCCATCCTTGTAAAGTAAAGCATAGGATTCAAATTAAACCAAGGACACCTCTTAGGAGAAATTCATTTTCCCTGAGTCATATTCTGGACATGGGATTTGGGCACTCCATGTTTGGCATTCTAGACAATGGATTTTGGGAACAGTCACTTTAGGAAGACCTTATATGTCTCTCATAGTCTACAAATTGTTCATAAGACATGAGGAAAAATTGGAGTAATCACTTTTTTTCTTTAGTTTATCATGGGTTTGGGGATTATTTCTTCTTTGGTACCTCTATGTTGTTGTTTTTAAAGAGTCAAGGGACTAATGCTTAATATTTTTATTCTTTACCTTTCAAACTGATGAGTGGGCAACTATTTGTGAACAATGGCCCTAGACAAGTTACCTGTCCTACCTCCAGTGGCACTTAAAGGGCAATCTGTGAACAAGAGCACCAGACCTCTGAATCAGAGTCTGCGCATGTCTGGTGTCACCAGCTGATTTATCTGCCCATTAATGTTTGAGAAGCATTGCCTTAGATCAGGACAACA